TCAAAAGTGCCCCAAGGCTTCGTCTGATCGCCAAAATAATGGTCGCAATCGATTCCTCGGGTCAATATCTAACCTCAGTCGAAGGTTCCAGACCTGTGGCTCCTATCCCTCATCCCTTAATCGTCCCTTAAAGGACGGGGCGCGTCAAAAGTGCCCCAAGACTTCGTCTGATCGCCAAAATAATGGTCGCAATCGATTCCTCGGGTCAATATCTAACCTCAGTCGAAGGTTCCAGACCTGTGGCTCCTATCCCTCATCCCTTATTCGTCCCTTAAAGGACGGGGCGCGTCAAAAGTGCCCCAAGGCTTCGTCTGATCGCCAAAATAATGGTCGCAATCGATTCCTCGGGTCAATCTCTAACTTCAGTCGAAGGTTCCAGACCTCTGGCTCCTGTCCCTCATCCCTTAATCGTCCCTTAAAGGACGGGGCGCGTCAAAAGTGCCCCAAGGCTTCGTCTGATCGCCAAAATAATGGTCGCAATCGATTCTTCGGGTCAATATCTAACCTCAGTCGAATGTTCCAGACCTGTGGCTCCTATCCCTCATCCCTTAATCGTCCCTTAAAGGACGGGGCGCGTCAAAAGTGCCCCAAGGCTTCGTCTGATCGCCAAAATAATGGTCGCAATCGATTCCTCGGGTCAATATCTAGCCTCAGTCGAAGGTTCCAGACCTGTGGCTCCTATCCCTCATCCCTTAATCGTCCCTTAAAGGACGGGGCGCGTCAAAAGTGCCCCAAGGCTTCGTCTGATCGCCAAAATAATGGTCGCATTCGATTCCTCGGGTCAATATCTAGCCTCAGTCGAAGGTTCCAGACCTGTGGCTCCTATCCCTCATCCCTTAATCGTCCCTTAAAGGACGGGGCGCGTTAAAAGTGCCCCAAGGCTTCGTCTGATCGCCAAAATAATGGTCGCAATCGATTCCTCGGGTCAATATCTAACCTCAGTCGAAGGTTCCAGACCTGTGGCTCCTATCCCTCATCCCTTAATCGTCCCTTAAAGGACGGGGCGCGTCAAAAGTGCCCCAAGGCTTCGTCTGATCGCCAAAATAATAGTCGCAATCGATTCCTCGGGTCAATGTCTAGCCTCAGTCGAAGGTTCCAGACCTGTGGCTCCTATCCCTCATCCCTTAATCGTCCCTTAAAGGACGGAGCGCGTCAAAAGTGCCCCAAGGCACTTTTGACACTTATTTTGACACTTATTTTGGCGATCAGACGAAGCCTTGGGGCACTTTTGACGCGCCCCGTCCCTTAAGGGACGATTAAGGGATGAGGGATAGGAGCCACAGGTCTGGAACCTTCGACTGAGGTTAGATATTGACCCGAGGAATCGATTGCGACCATTATTTTGGCGATCAGACGAAGCCTTGGGGCACCTTTGACGCGCCCCGTCTTTTAAGGGACGATTAAGGGATGAGGGATAGGAGCCACACGTCTGGAACCTTCGAATGAGGTTAGATATTGACCCGAGGAATCGATTGCGACCATTATTTTGGCGATCAGACGAAGCCTTGGGGCACTTTTGACGCGCCCCGTCCTTTAAGGGACGATTAAGGGATGAGGGATAGGAGCCACAGGTCTGGAACCTTCGACTGAGGTTAGATATTGACCCGAGGAATCGATTGCGACCATTATTTTGGCGATCAGACGAAGCCTTGGGGCACTTTTGACGCGCCCCGTCCTTTAAGGGACGATTAAGGGATGAGGGATAGGAGCCACACGTCTGGAACCTTCGACTGAGGCTAGATATTGGCCCGAGGAATCAATTGCGACCATTATTTTGGCGATCAGACGAAGCCTTGGGGCACTTTTGACGCGCCCCGTCCTTTAAGGGACGACTAAGGGATGAAGGATAGGAGCCACAGGTCTGGAACCTTCGACTGAGGTTAGATATTGACCCGAGGAATCGATTGCGACCATTATTTTGGCGATCAGACGAAGCCTTAGGGCACTTTTGACGCACCCCGTCCTTTAAGGAACAATTAAGGGATGAGGGCTAGGAGCCACAGGTCTGGAACATTCGACTGAGGTTAGATATTGACCCGAGGAATCGATTGCGATCATTATTTTGGCGATCAGACGAAGCCTTGGGGCACTTTTGACGCGCCCCGTCCTTTAAGGGACGATTAAGGGATGAGGGATAGAAGCCACAGGTCTGAAACCTTCGACTGAGGCTAGATATTGACCCAAGGAATCGATTGCTACCATTATTTTGGCGATCAAACGAAGCCTTGGGGCACTTTTGACGCGCCCCGTCCTTTAAGGGACGATTAAGGGATTAGGGATAAGAGCCACAGGTCTGGAACCTTCGACTGAGGTTAGATATTGACCCGAGGAATCGATTGCGACCATTATTTTGGCGATCAGACGAAGCCTTGGGGCACTTTTGACGCGCCCCGTCCTTTAAGGGACGATTAAGGGATGAGGGATAGGAGCCACAGGTCTGGAACCTTCGACTGAGGCTAGATACTGACCCGAGGAATCGATTGCGACCATTATTTTTGCGATCAGACGAAGCCTTGGGGCACTTTTGACGCGCCCCGTCCTTTAAGGAACGATTAAGGGATGAGGGATAGGAGCCACAGGTCTGGAACCTTCGACTGAGGTTAGATATTGACCCGAGGAATCGATTGCGATCATTATTTTGGCGATCAGACGAAGCCTTGGGGCACTTTTGACGCGCCCCGTCCTTTAAGGGACGATTAAGGGATAAGGGATAGGAGCCACAGGTCTGGAACCTTCGACTGAGGTTAGATATTGACCCGAGGAATCGATTGCGACCATTATTTTGGCGATCAGACGAAGCCTTGGGGCACTTTTGACGCGCCCCGTCCTTTAAGGGACGATTAAGGGATGAGGGATAGGAGCCACAGGTCTGGAACCTTCGACTGAGGCTAGATACTGACCCGAGGAATCGATTGCGACCATTATTTTTGCGATCAGACGAAGCCTTGGGGCACTTTTGACGCGCCCCGTCCTTTAAGGGACGATTAAGGGATAAGGGATAGGAGCCACAGGTCTGGAACCTTCGACTGAGGTTAGATATTGACCCGAGGAATCGATTGCGACCATTATTTTGGCGATCAGACGAAGCCTTGGGGCACTTTTGACGCGCCCCGTCCTTTAAGGGACGATTAAGGGATGAGGGATAGGAGCCACAGGTCTGGAACCTTCGACTGAGGTTAGATATTGACCCGAGGAATCGATTGCGATCATTATTTTGGCGATCAGACGAAGCCTTGGGGCACTTTTGACGCGCCCCGTCCTTTAAGGGACGATTAATGGATAAGGGATAGGAGCCACAGGTCTGGAACCTTCGACTGAGGTTAGATATTGGCCCGAGGAATCGATTGCGACCATTATTTTGGCGATCAGACGAAGCCTTGGGGCACTTTTGACGCGCCCCGTCCTTTAAGGGACGATTAAGGGATGAGGGATAGGAGCCACAGGTCTGGAACCTTCGACTGAGGCTAGATATTGACCCGAGGAATCGATTGCGACCATTATTTTGGCGATCAAACGAAGCCTTGGGGCACTTTTGACGCGCCCCGTCCTTTAAGGGACGATTAAGGGATGAGGCATAGGAGCCACAGGTCTGGAACCTTCGACTGAGGCTAGATATTGACCCGAGGAATCGATTGCGACCATTATTTTGGCGATCAGACGAAGTCTTGGGGCACTTTTGACGCGCCCCGTCCTTTAAGAGACGATTAAGGGATGAGGGACAGGAGCCACAGATCTGGACCCTTCGACTGAGGTTAGATATTGACCCGAGGAATCGATTGCGACCATTATTTTGGCGATCAGACGAAGCCTTGGGGCACTTTTGACGCGCCCCGTCCTTTAAGGGACGATTAAGGGATGAGGGATAGGAGCCACAGGTCTGGAACCTTCGACTGAGGTTAGATATCGACCCGAGGAATCGATTGCGACCATTATTTTGGCGATCAGACGAAGCCTTGGGGCACTTTTGACGCGCCCCGTCCTTTAAGGGACGATTAAGGGATGAGGGATAGGAGCCACAGGTCTGGAACCTTCGACTGAGGTTAGATATTGACCCGAGGAATCGGTTGCGACCATTATTTTGGCGATCAGACGAAGCCTTGGGGCACTTTTGACGCGCCCCGTCCTTTAAGGGACGATTAAGGGATGAGGGATAGGAGCCACAGGTCTGGAACCTTCGACTGAGGCTAGATACTGACCCGAGGAATCGATTGCGACCATTATTTTGGCGATCAGACGAAGCCTTGGGGCACTTTTGACGCGCCCCGTCCTTTAAGGAACGATTAAGGGATGAGGGATAGGAGCCACAGGTCTGGAACCTTCGACTGAGGTTAGATATTGACCCGAGGAATCGATTGCGACCATTATTTTGGCGATCAGACGAAGCCTTGGGGCACTTTTGACGCGCCCCGTCCTTTAAGGGACGATTAAGGGATGAGGGATAGGAGCCACAGGTCTGGAACCTTCGACTGAGGTTAGATATTGACCCGAGGAATCGATTGCGATCATTATTTTGGCGATCAGACGAAGCCTTGGGGCACTTTTGACGCGCCCCGTCCTTTAAGGGACGATTAAGGGATAAGGGATAGGAGGCACAGGTCTGGAACCTTCGACTGAGGTTAGATATTGGCCCGAGGAATCGATTGCAACCATTATTTTGGCGATCAGACGAAGCCTTGGGGCACTTTTGACGCGCCCCGTCCTTTAAGGGACGATTAAGGGATGAGGGATAGGAGCCACAGGTCTGGAACCTTCGACTGAGGCTAGATACTGACCCGAGGAATCGATTGCGACCATTATTTTGGCGATCAGACGAAGCCTTGGGGCACTTTTGACGCGCCCCGTCCTTTAAGGGACGATTAAGGGATGAAGGAAGGGAGCTAGGGCAAAATAAATGTCATATTCGTGTTTCCCGTCCCCCAATTGACCTGATGGCAGTTTTTGAAGCGATTCTGAATCCGACGCTGTATTCGTTGCTGTTGCTGACGCTAACTTCACGGACATTGTGAGGCATTGTTTGTATCGAACACGCTTTCAACTCGGACCAGGTATTGCTGCCATATTTAGAGGGAAAACTAGTACTGATAAGTTTGCTTCTTGGATACAGCATGGCGTCAGCAGTCAGCACACATCAATAGCCGATTATTTGTGTTTATTTATTAGTCAGGAGCACTGCTTTTAAACTATGACTAATACTGAAAGCGAACACTTGATTTGTCATGAGGGAAGTTACAACTTGGCGTATCAAGACAGGACACAGGTAATAAATAGCAATCAAGATAAACGTCACATTTACAACGCTAATGATGTAGGTATGATTCGTAGGTGACCCAAAGCATGGGCGAGATGATAAAACAAAGCGAGTCGACTGGAGTGGGTAATACTAATAGTCGAACGTAGTGTGTCTGTGGCCTGTGCACGAATGTCCATAACGCACAGAACAATGCAATGTAATTATTGACCAATCGTTTTCATCTTAATTTTCTGCTAGCATGCAGCGCGATCCATCCGCACTCGCAGCACCCACACACTATTTCCAATCTATTACAAATGTGACACTAGCTGCAGGTAGCACAAGGTAACACCGCCGGAGAACTTTTGCCGCTACTCGGGTGCACCAGAAGGCGTACATCGACCCGGTGCTCAGAAATAGTCTTTGAGTCGAGTCGAGTAGCTGAGTCACTGAGTCGAGCCGAGCCGATGAGTCACGTGAAGTTAACACCTGGCGAAGTTCACAACACACATGTCCGACAGTAGGTACGAGTAGGTACTCCACTGCTGGTACCGGGACGACCCGCTGTGTGCAATTTACTCTCATGTATATCTGACTATACCTAATCAGCCTGACACACGCATCAAAGCAGTGTTATGCAAAGCAATCAATTCTCACAAAGCACTGAAGTTAATGACCCCTGATTCATCTCTGATTTGAAATGCCCTTGGTGTCTATCTAGTCTCCCTATGTATGAGGGTGTCCTAGCCGACCCGGCCCGGGGCGGCGCCGCTGAAGGCGCGGCTGTGACTCGCGCACTCCGGGTCCTCCACCAGCCGCGGGAGCCTGATGAGGTTCTCGCCGGAACACATGCGCCGGCGGATCAGTTGCAGGAACAGCTGGTACTGGTACTGGCCCAGCTGGCGGTCGACGCCTCCCTCCGTCAGCCACTGCACCCACTTGTAGGCGGGGCAGATGCGCGGCCAGGGGTACAGCATGTCCAGCCAGATCATCCGCACCTTGGCACACCTGGACAGGGACATGGAGCCGGCGTCCGCCTTGACGATGGTCAGCTTGTCCAGGGTAAGCAGTGGATCCAGCTCCTTGATGCTTTCGTCGACTGTGATCCTGACCAAGGCGTCCTTGTGAATATGATCAATTCGTGTTGTCTCGAGACGAAGAATCTCCTTTACCGACACACATAGGCCTTCTGGCTGCAGTTCCCGAATGCGTGAGCCGATGACCTGCATTGTGCAAACTGTCATGTTGAAACTCTTGCTCTGCACAACGTCAAAATAACTATCCCAGATGATCAGTTCATTCACTGCGCCGGAAAATGCGTAGGGGTGCATGTCACCTTTCACAAGAAGATTGCGAATGACGAAAGACGCCATGTCATTGCGACTGTGGAAGCATTTGTTACTTATATTGCCAATTGTCACATTGTTCCACTCGCTGAAGAAGGCACGTCCACCGAAACTCTCCTCATGGCAAACATCCATGGTGACATTGTTCATCACGTATTCGAAAACTGAGCCTGTTATCCAGCTGGACTCCAAGTTCAGCATCTTCACATACTGCAGCAGGAAACTGGGACCCTCCTCAGCCCGGTGATCGTCGGCTTCCTCAGCCTGGTGATAGTCGAAGGCTCTGGATTCAACATCAAGATGTCCAATGTGGTGCATCTGAATCGCCGTTTGTGATTCCCAGTGACCAGCAAACGATCCCGTCTTGACATGGAGTGATGCGATGTTTTCAAACCTAACAAGGCGCAGGCTGTTGTTACTGTGCGATGCCATGCCATGACTCTCGATGTCCAGCCGCTGAGCGTGGCTGATGGTGAAGTTGACCAGAGAGTGGAGGCTCTTGATGGCGCCCTCGTCGATAATGACGTGGCTCCAGCCGCTGATGTTCACCGACAGAACGCCCGTCGGAAAGAAGTCTTGATGCAGAGTCATCTGAGGATCAGACCAAACGCCAGTCAGTAAGACAAGGTTTGGATTGGTTCGGCCCTAGAAAATAGCGAAGCCTGCAAACGTGTAAAAATATCGGATTTGTGAATGCTGTAAGCAACTCATAATGAATAACATAAATACAAGTCCAAGCAATTTTTGCGTGACAATAGAAACGAAATTCAAAGTTGCGTTTGAGGTTTGTACCACAACAAAATCGCAAAACATGTGCGAATTAAGTTAACATACCTACATACTCGCCTATCGTGCGAATTCAATGCTGTTTAAATACTATTTTATTACCCTACGTAGGTAGGGGCCGTTTAATTTTACGTAAAGTAACTAAACAATGATAGTGATACCAAAGTAATCTTGGTGATACCTACATCGCTTTGTCTCATTTTTTACATTACAAACAGCAATTAATTTTGAAAATTGACAGGCTGACTTTTTTACTCCCTATTAATGCACATTTACATCCCCTTTCCTGCCCTGCGGAGGCTCACCGTCTCATTTCCCGGCGACGGGCAGCTGACGCTCCGCGCGTTGGCGCACGAGGGCCGGACCGAGCAGACCGCGATCTCGCACACGGCCGGCCCCGGGCTGCGGCGACCCACGGACCCGGTCAGCGCCGGGGCCGGCAGCAGCAGCGGCAGCCCCAGCAGCCACAGCGTCCTCAGCCCGACCGGTGACCTCATGGTGCCGCCGAGCCAGACCAGAGCCGAGCCAGTCGAAACAGCGTCCCGTCCGAGACGTCACCGTCTTCTGTGGACAACCGTGAAGCGCCCAGCAACGTTATCATCGAACTCCGTGCCAACAGAAATGTGGACAGGATAACTGCTACAAGATAGGTATGTTTAACTATGGGATGTATGTGCAATAAAAAGGCACTTTTCATCAGTAGCGGCGGAACACCTTCAATTAAGGAGGGGGGGGGGACTGCCGACTTTTGGTCCCATTCTTTCCATGCAACGCCCTGATAGGGCTGAATGTTAAAATGATAAAATCAAAGGGGGGCACGGTGCCCTCCCCGTTCCGCCGCCTATGCTTTTCATTCTTCAACAGTTTCCATAAAGCATTTTTTCGGTACATCGGGCTTTATCATCACCTTTTGGTTCGATAATTGTTTTCAATAAAAAGCCTTTGCTCAAAAGCCTTTGCTCATGTGCTTGTGAGTCCTTCCATTCAAAAGGTTCGGACTAAATTTATTTAAAAAGAAAAAGGTTATGTGTTTGAAGTTTTAACATCAAAATGCCATTACACTTTGCCTCTGTTACGTTCATAGAAAACTCTTCACTCTTCAGAGTAGATCTGAAGAGGTGCCATGGACGAAATAGGGGTCAAATTTTATACATACCTAGTAATTATCTGAACCCTCGCCGGCCGAGGGGGACGGGTGCCCCCCCCCCCCCCCCTCCATAGGGTTTTTTTAGTCGCGATAGCTCCTAACACGCTGGCGAAAGAGAACTGAAACTTGGTATACCTGACCTTTGATTCAAGTCAAATCTTTTGACACCAACCGCATTTTCGTGTCAGGTCAGGTTACTGACCTATGACCATAGGCGGCGGAACGGGGATGGCACCGCCCACTGGGGCATTATGCCCCCCCCGCTTTTAACATTAACCCGCGCCCCACTGGGGTCTGTGTATAACACGCCCTACTGGGGGGGGGGGGGGCTATTCATAGCCCCCCCTCCTAACTCCGAAACTACTGGGCCGATCGTCAAAATTCAAACGGCGTCTGATAGCCCCGGAAAAACTGTCGAGCGAAACCTAATTTCATTGACCTCGAGGTCACCGATGACGTCACAGGTCAGGTCAAAGTAAAAATTATTAGCACTTTGGCTTGTTCACATTTTGGGCTCTGGCCGCCGTCTTACAAGTCAGATCGGGCTCATTTTTGGTTTCCACACTCGTGAACAGATGCTCTAGATACCTTGAGGGTACCAAACTTGTACTTTGATTTTCAGGTCAGGGTCAGGTCATCACAGGTCACGAAAATATTATATCATGCGTCGGTCACGTGACACATGTTTTATGGTCCATTTAGGCCATAGATTTCGAATTTGATGTCGTCTGTGTCATTCGAGGTCATTTTGAGTCGAATTTAGCTTAGGTCAGGTCACTTTCAGGTCAAAAAAGGTCAAATTTTGAAGTTATAATTTTTCAACAAAAAAGGTGTCTATTGGATGCAGTTTGAGCTCAGGAACACGATGGTGCCATTTATATTGGTGTACGATGTCAAATACGTACTGAAAAAGCGATTTGAAAAATTAATAATTGTGAATTTTTTGCAATAATGCGTATAACTTGGCCATTTTTGAAGATATTTAGCTAAAACTTGCTAGAGTTTGTCATAATCATGCGTTCTGTCACATATATTCCGGTTTTTTCGAAAAGTCAAAAACTTTTTGAAAAAAATATAAAAATATAAATTTTGAATATTATTATACAAAATTTTCGAAATTTTCAAAATTTTGAAAATCCGAGATAGCAGTTTGGTAGCGCGGTCAATTCTGAGTCCTTTCATGCAAAGAAATTGGATCTAGCTTAAAAACTGAGCTCTTGGGAGCGATTGCCGTGGTTCAATGTTTTGCGTCGAAATCGGCCGAACATGACGTCACTCTGACGTCATTTCCGGCCGACCTATGGTAGGTACGAAGTTCAAATTTTGACACAAGGTGTCAAATTGATGTAGCCGAAGGTACTGAAAGTTTGGCGTCGATACGTCAAGCGGTTTGGAAGTTATTGCAGAAAAACGGGAGGGGGGGCTATAAATAGCCCCCCCCCCAGTGGGGCGCGGGTTAAAACGGCATTTTAACGGCATTTTAACATTAGCCCTGTGGGCGTTGCACGGAAAGAATGGGACCAAACGTCGGCAGTGCCCCCCCCCCCTTAATTGAAGGTGTTCCGCCGCTACTGCCTATGACGTCATAAGTGAACCTCTGCACGGTCTTCAGAGTTCAGATGTCACAACATATTACATAGCAACGCCCTCACTGGCAGAGGAGCTTTCACAGGGAAATGAAACTTGCAGGATCGAATATCCATTACGAGTCTCATAACTTGTTATCTCGGATTTTTCCTAAAGGTCATATGAGGTCAGGTCATTTTCGTGACCTCATCATTATAAGCCCATGGGGAAAAATGAAAACTGCTAGGTATTCTGGCGCCGGGAACGATCTCCAACTATCTCAAGCACACAGAATCGTGATTTTGTGCACTCCTTGCAAGGTAAGATGCGTCACTTTTGCAATGTTGACCTTGCGTGACGTCATGTATGACGTCATTAGGGTCATATTAGCTTTTCGTCAAGAACTCCCGATCAAATTGAGCTAGCGAGTCGGGAAATCCAGCAATGGACTCATGAAGACCTGCCAAATCGAGTGATATGCAACATGACCTACTTCGACCAATTTCGTGACCTAGGGGTGCTGACCTGACCGTGACCTGAGGTCAACACCCTAAGTTGACCTCACCCAAATAAAGAGTATATCATTCGACGCACCTGAGCGAGGCAAACACGATGCTGCCAAAATCGCGGCTCTGCGGTCGTTTTTTGCGAAGTTATTCACCAAAAACGGAACCGTACATTGGGTCACTTGACCTGACCTCAGAGGTCACCGGTTGACCTAGGACCTTAAAATCGGATATCAATCTCTGCGTCTCGTAACGGCGCACACGATCGTTTTTTTTTCCGCAACGCGCTAGCGTCACCAGGGGCGAAACGGCGAGGGGGGTTGTACCCGCCCCCTCCCCCCTCGGCCGGCGCGTATACGCGCCTTATTATTGGTTTACGCGCCGGACTTATTGGTTTTCTACATATATGTAGAAAACCAATAAGTCCGGCGAGGGTTAATTTTAGTATTTCAAGAATATAAAGCGAGCTAAGCCTAGGGCAAGGTTGCTTGTAAACGACCCTTTCCTATTTGCGACCCACCTCCCTACAGAAAAACTGGTAATAGAAATCGGGGAGAAACAATGTCAAATGGACTGTCATACATTGCTTAAAGGGACCCTCCCACCTTCAAAAAAGTTTATGAATTGGCATGAAAGTGATGTCGCTCGGTTCAGAAAGAGCGAAAACGAATATCTACCAAAATTCACCGAAAAATATTCACCGGTTTTCAAGATATTAGACTTTTACTTTTGTTTACTTTTTTGGGATCTCCGCTGTTTCTAGCGACTTTATTTTAGAAGTGCGGCGTTTGCGGCAGATGTTGCGCGCAAATAGCATATACCACCGCGTGCTACAAAACGTTTTAGTCAAACAGTTAAAAATCGTTAGATATTTGCGCTGACGTCACACATTCAGAGGGGTATTCCTGAGCATTAGCCCCTCTGAATCAAAATGCTGCAATTTTGAAATTCAATATTTCCGATTTAAGGCATTTCTCGATGTTGTGAGTGCCGAAACCGGTAATTGTGAGTCAGGGACCCCATTTTGGCTATCTCAACTCAAATCTAATGTTAAGGTGGGAGGGTCCCTTTAACAATCTCAATTCTTTTCCGGTAGTCGGTGCATTTGTTGATACGTTTTAGGTGAGTTTAAATATAAATGGCCATTTTCTTATCCAAACCGTGTGTATTTGCGCCATGTCTGATGAAAAACGATGCACGTGTCGTTAGATGATGCACCTTTTTTATTCTGAGTCAATAATCATTTTTCAATTGATTGCAGCCTTCCCGTAGTGAATCACTCGACTCAGCAGTGCGTGGTGGATGAAAATGTGTCGCAGCCCAAGATTCTTCAAGATATCGCAGCCCATATTTCCTCTTTGCACCCGACATGGACGCATATAGCTCAAGAAGGGAAATGAATGGGAAAAAAGAGCAGGGAATATGAGGGGTTGCCGAATTAACCCTCGCCGGACCTATTGGTTTTCTACATACGCGCCGGCCGAGGGGGGGGGGCGGGTACGACCCCCCCCCTCGCCGTTTCGCCCCTGGTGGAGCTAGCGCGTCGCGGAAAAAAGAGCGTGTGCGCCGTTACGAGACGCAGAGATTGGTACCCGATTTTAAGGTCCTAGGTCAACCGGTGACCTCTGAGGTCAGGTCAAGTGCCCCAAGGTACGGTTCAGTTTTTGGTGAATAACTTCGCAAAAAAACGGCCGCAGAGCGCCGATTTTGGCAGCATCGTGTTTGTCTCGCTCAGGCGCGTCGAATGATATACTTTTTGTCCGGGTCAGGTCAACTTGGGGTGTTGACCTCAGGTCAAGGTCAGGTCAGCACCCCCAGGTCACGAAGTTAGTCGAAAGGGGTCATGTCGCATATCATTCGATTCGGCAGGTCTTCCTGAGTCCATTGGTGGCTTTCCCGACTCGCTAGCTCAATCTGATCAAGAGTTATTGACGAAAAACTAATATGACCTTGATGACGTCATAAATGACGTCACGCAAGGTCAACATTGCAAAAGTGACGCATCTAACCTTGCAAGGAGTGCATAAAATTACGATTCTGTGTGCTTGAGATAGTTGGAGATCGTTCCCGGCGCCAGAATAGCAGTTTTCATTTTTCCCCATTGACTTATAATGGTGAGGTCACGAAAATGACCTGACCTCATATGACCTTTAGGAAAAATCCGAGATATACAAGTTGTGGGACTCATAATGGATACTAGATCCTGCAAGTTTCATTTCCCTGTGACATCTCCTCTGGCAGTGAGGGCGTTGCGAAGTTGCGACATCTGAAGACCGTGCAGAGGTTCACTTATGACGTCATAGGTCAGTGACCTGACCTGACCAAAAAATGCGGTTGGTGTCAAA